ACATAACTGATTTTCACCCACTTTTGCCCCTCTGGTTCTCAAACCTCGTATTAGATAAGTTTCACTTTCTGTTCAGTTCCCAGTTGAAAGGGTTTGTCTGTTTGGGAAGTACTTAGCATGCGACTGGATAAATGAGACTTGGGTTATGGGCCGCACACATGCCGCGTTTTGTGAGGCCTCAAATTCATTGCTTTCAATGTAGACGTGTCGCAATGGCTGCACCCTGAGATAAACTGAGTTCAACTTTTAGAACACAGTAGCAGGCACTGCATGTCAATTTATCAAGAATTTTCTCCATTTTTGGATTCTGTGTTTGTCGGAGGCATGTGAGAAAAACAAAGTTTTCTTCCTGACTTAAAGGTCCAGTGTGTAGGATTTACGGACATGCATTGGCAGAAAAGGTATATCATTTTAATAACAGGGTTTTAATTAGTTTATTATCACCTCAAAAAAAGAATCGTTTTCGTTACCTTAGAATGAGCTGTTATATCTACATACAGAGCAAGTCATCCCCCCATGGAGTCCGCCATATTGTTTTTTAGTATCCCAGAATGGAATAATCAAACACTGGCTCCAGAGAGGGCCATTGACGTTTTCACGTTTTCGCATTGGCCACTGTAGTTCTCCTACACGCTTGGCACATGGGAGATGTTTCAGTCCTGCAGCCTCACCACTAGATGCCACTAAATCCTACACACTGGACCTTTAAAGAGTGAGTAAGTGACACACAAATGATCATTTGGAGGGTGAAGTATTCCTTTTAAGTTTAACAGCGCTCATTCATGTGGTCATGTGGTGTCTTTTACAGTTTACCCATGTTTACAGTATTACGGAAATTCACCATATTGATGACAATGATCTTGGAAGTATATATACTAAGGTAAGACATATCTCTATGACAGAGCTGGTGTTAAAGTACTGTATCATGCAGCACTCTTACATGGAGAGATTTATAATCAGTTTATCAACACAGTTTAACAAGACAGGAGCTTTCAGTGCAGGGGGAGAAGGAAAATGTAAGATATTAAAGAGTGGGATGTGATTTATTCAAGGGAAAGAACATCAACTTTTATTCTTATCTGCACTTTGACACATGCTTTTTCTATACAAATTTTGTTTTTGAACTGAATGCTTTCCTGTTGTCAGAAAAACATTCCCAAGACGCCTTGTGTATAGTGTCATAGCCATAGTCCTGGGTGCCATGGTTGCTGCAAGGTATGACTTTCTAAAGTGAATTAATTCAATAGGAATTGTTTATAATGTCCTTAAGAACTGAACACCAGAGCTTTGTCTCCGTCTGTTCCTCTCTTCCAGCTCTGACCTGGCCTTCGATGTGGAGAGCTATACTTTCATCCTGCTCAACGATGCTTTCACGGCTGCCAGCAGCGTGTACACCAAGAAGAAACTTGGCACTGAGGTAACATTCCCTGCACACTCTGTACAAATGGACACGACCTTGTGTATTCTACTGGTAGTTTCACATCAGTTAAATGTCTGTGAAGGTGTGACAAATTGCAGGGTAATAGAAGATCGTGTTACTGCACAGCTGTCCTGCCAGAAGAAGGAAGGGGATTAAACCTGTAAACCTTAACTAAACATGGTATTGCATAGAAAATGAGATGATAGATTTTTATCTTCAGCATTACAAAGTGTGAGTAAAGGTGATGGTTTTAGTTGTGTTTGTCCACCCTTTAAGTAAACAGGATGTGGGACACACCAGGATCACACCAACGAAGAATTATCAGCACTTTGTAAACCTAATATGTTGTCACAGTAACTGTTTTTAGGTCTGCTGTTTGTTGCACAAGCGTCACAAATGATCTGTTTGATTTTGGTGACATTAAATGGAATATTTTGCTCTTTTTCATTAAGGGCCTCGGGAAGTATGGTGTCTTATTTTACAATGCACTAATCATTGTCATCCCCACTCTCTTGGCAAGTGCATTGACTGGAGATTTACACGAGGTACATACATTAAATATAGTCCAGTGTATTTTTTGAAGTGTTTGTGCCCAGAGCCATATGTGTTTTCCTGCCTGACCACCAGCATGTTTCTGATCCACAGGCAGTCACGTTTAAAGACTGGGTTACAGCCACTTTTATTTTTTGCTTCCTCATGTCCTGCTTCATGGGGTATGTCACCACACTATGCTCAATTAGTCATATCTTTGTGGCAACTCCAAAAACAAACAAGAAATCATACTTCCATAGGTCTTATATAACTGCCCCACTACCCTGTATTGTGACACTCAGTTCTGTGTTTTTCAGGTTTGTGCTCATGTATTCCATCGTCCTGTGCAGCTATTATAACTCTGCACTTACTACAACAGTAGTGGGGGCAATAAAGGTAAGAACACACTGATAAAAACGCTATTTTTAGACCAGAAAGCAAAGGCAGTGCACATACCTCAGCCAAGATTGCTCAACCCTGCAAATCCATTATGTTAATAATTGAGCTTCTGTGTGGATCTGGGTTCAGACTACACATAGTTATTAACAGTAAAAACTGTTTATGTTTAAAATGGCCTCTCATGCAATGCTAGGATTGTTTTTAAATTAATTGCATCTACACATGGATCTAAATCTGCACCAAAAACTAGATACTTGTTCTTCACCCCATGGTGATGGCTTAAAGGGACAGTTCACCCCAAAATCAAAATACATATTTTTCTTCATACTTGTAGTGCTATTTATCACTCTAGATTGTTTTGGTGTGAGTTGCAGAGTGTCTGAGATATCGACAGTAGAGATGTCTGCATTCTCTTGAATGTAATGGAACTAGATGACACTCAGCTTGTGGTGCTCAAAAATGCATTTATAAAACTCAACAGCAATGTCTCTTTCCAGAAATCATGACCCGGTTACTCAAGATAATCCACAGACCTTGTTGTGAGCGGTTCGATGTAGGAACTATTTTCTGTCTACCAAGATACACCCACTAACCATATCACCATGGAGAAGGATGCATGTAACACATAGATGGGAGGCTGGTGCTTGTGACGGCACAAGATGTAAACATTAATGATGTCCTCCTCAGCTGAGCTGTAACGAAGCTAGCTCAGTGGTGCTAGGTGAGCTAGCAGTAGGTGCAACGCTCCCCTCTGTGTCATCTTATGGTTAGAGGGTGCAGTTGGAAAGAGACGTTGCTGTTGAGTTTTTCAAATGTATTTTATGGTGCTTTGAGCACCACAAACTGAGTGCCATATACCGTAAAACTTAAGTTAGTTGCCCGGGCTATTATTTGCTGTAGTCGCTGAAATTAACAGGCCTATATATGGGACAGGCCTTTAATTCCTTTCACACAAAACTGTTGCTCAGCAAAGATCAGGACATATGATCTATTTGTTTATTTATACCAGTATGAATATTATTTGTATAATAGTCAGGCTTCAGATAATATCAGGAATGAATCATTCATTTGATCTAGCTCCGACATACAATGCATCACAGAGAGAGTTAAGGCGCTCAAGGATTACAGCACCCGACATACTGACACAACACCACTTTATTCTGTTAAAACAATACTCACAACTTGGATTAATTTTTATGAAAAACCCTTTCGATTCTCTTAATCTGAGGACCCTTACAGACTAAAGGAACATGAATAACTTACAGGCTAATGAAGGAATGGACACATTATTTGAGGTAGCCAACAACCTGCTTTTATACATCTGAAGAGCTTAAAAAAAAAAAAAACCGAGCTGCTTGGCAACAAGAGTTTTATTTGTCAAAATGAATAGCCACAGGGTGGCACGGTGGTGTGGTGGTTAGCACTGTCGCCTCACAGCAAGAGGGTTCCCGGTTAGAAAATGGATGGATGGATGGATGAATAGCCACACTGAGCTAGTAAGACCCTAGGCTTTTACTTGAAGTTTTATGGGAGTTCCATTATACTTTAGAGAAGGCAGACATCTCTATAGCCAATATCTCCAACACTCGGCAACTCACACCAAAACAATCTAGATTGATAAATAACATTACAGGTAAAAAGAAAAATATGTATTTTTGATTTTGGGGTGAACTGTCCTTTTAACTTTTAACTTAAACTTAAGTTTTTGAGATGCTCTGCTAAGTAACAGACATAACAACAAAGAACTTAAAACATCATCCTTGTTCTGCTAACAGGATCATCACTAACTTGTGTAAATATTACATTTTTCTAAAGAATGTTGCCGTAGCCTATATCGGCATCTTTGTAGGTGGAGACTACCTGTTCTCTTGGACCAACTTCCTCGGCCTCAGCATTTGGTAAGAAGTTATTTTTTTTCCCATTTCAGTTTAATTTTATTCTGTTGTTTTAACAGTTTGTGACCAACATATTTTGTTAAATGTCATCATGAACTGTGCTTGACTACAACTGCAAATTGTCAGAGTTCAATGTGATCAAACAGTCAAACAAGAGGCCCCAGCATTTCACCATATGTTTACATTTCAGCAGCATTGTGAGATTAAATTTAATTTCCAAGCCAAGTTCCAATCCAGATCTTAACAAGGATTTACAAGCTCACAAATGGACAGATAGATAAGATTAGTTAATGTGTTATCAGTGACTTAATGTGCTTGTTGTTTGTTTTAACAGGCATCTTTGAACTGAAGCTTATTGTCTTGGCACACATTGTTCAGTCACTCTGAGAAACAGCTCAGCAGTAGCAACAATCATTTAGCATGTTCTAACGTTCATTCAACTTTGTCTTTGCAGTATGTCAGGTGGACTGGTGTACTCATATCTCACCTTTAACCAAAAATCATCTGGGACTAACGCAGAAAGTGCACAAGAGCTGAAGATTCACATCCCAGAGGATTCAACAGGGAAGTACTCTGCAAACTAAATGGACAATATTTTAACATCCACCACTAGGTGGCATTGTTCTGCTTCATATTGGAGCTCAATTTTGCTTCTGAACTTTTATTTTGATGTTTATTTAAACTCAGTCGATTGTCCTGGAGACATTACTGCTGGTATATGAATGAACTGACAAGAAGATCACATAAATTCTGGGTCAGGTTCAGTGAATGTTTATTGAAAACCAACAATTACACAACAGTGTGGACAGCCTGTCAGAGAAATCTTTAAAAATGTGTAATAAAATGTCTACCAAGCAAGCAGGGTCAGTCTATACATGTCACAATGTGAAAACTGTTGGAGGATGTTAGCTGAGGGGGAAACTGAGACTAAAATTTCAACTTCAGAGCTCTCTGTAAAATTGTGCACACTCAATATTCTAAAACAAACTCAATGTGTATATATTAAATGCCATAATCTTCTCAAACCACAAAATAGACTAAGGGTTAGAAATGATTCAAAATATACTATAATTGGGTAAAAAATAAATCATTTGGTGTCTTGATTATCAACAATTCACTTGCCTTCCAGTTTCACCATAACTCCATAAGGGTAATTTGTAAATTGAACAGATTCAAACATCACAGCTAGAGTGACAGGTCGCTGGTGCAGGTTTCCCCAAAACAACCGAGCAGACAGGGCAGTTATGAGAGGCTTCATACAGTGTTGAAGGATGTAGTGTTGCTTTAAAGAAAAAAGAAGAAACAAAAAACAGCACTACAAAAATCAGTTTATCAGAAACAGGTGCCACTTTCTTTGGACACGTACGACAAACCTAATCCTCAGTGCATTGCAAGCTTAATCCAAGACTCAAGGGGTGTAAGTGCTAAATAAAAATCAATGTGGTGTCTAAATGTATGCGACATAATCTAAATGTTTTCTTTGCTGGTGCCAAAATATTTCCCTTCACTTACAAATGATCTCAGGGCTATCAAAGTTGGACAAAATGTTAGCCAGAAAAAATAAATATTTCATAATTTAACCTTTGAAATGAGATGACATACACGCACCACACACTACTACGATGCTATGCCCACATCGTAACCAATCTGCCGCCTTTTAATATAAAAGGCGACTGACATCATCCATTGTAAAATATCTCCCGTCTGGTTGGTAAACAGCTTAAGGTCTGCAGGTTTTACATGATTCTTGTATTGGAGGAAAACAGCTGTTATAATTGGAATATGGCATGTTTGTAAAGGCACTCTGGACCTTTGGATATTGTATATTGCTGAAAGGAACAGTGCAGGATTAAGGGGGATTTAGTAGCATCTAGTGGTGAGGATTGCAAACTGCAACCAGCTAAAACTTGTGGTTTGAATTCCCTCAGGTTTTTACTCTGAGCTAAATTATCCACAGCTATCTGTCTCCAAAACAGACCAGGTGATTAAAACCGGTAAAAAAAAAATAAATAAATAAATAAAAAAAAAAAAAATCAGTTTCACATTACAAATTAGTGTTTCGCTGATGCTTTTTGGCATGTTGGAGACCGGGTGCTAGCCACCGTTTTTCTCTGAGAACTTAAAATCCAGATGTACATAAGATTTTTACCGTGAGCCAAATGATCTGCAGAGGTTTTTCACTCTCTAAAACAAACAGACCTGGTGATTTAAACCGGTATAAACACTAAGTAAAGCAGTTTTCGCATCGCAAATCAGTGTTTTTGACACTGTCTGGCTTGTCGCAGAGGGACTGCTAACTATATAGAGTCCTATATAGAGCCAACATTTGGTTAGTCCATTCAGGGCTACTGTAGAAACATGGCGGTGCAACATTGCAATCTCTGCAGACGTGGATCCCATCCCTATGTGGATATAAACGGCTCATTCTAAGGTAACAAAAACACAATGATTATTTTCAGGTGATTATACACTAAAGCAAACTTGCTTATTTTAGTATATTCCACTTCTGCCAATATCCCCCAAAATCCTACAGACTGAACCTTTAACTAAATCTGTCAGACAGTACAGTTAAGTCAAGATGAACTTTTCCTGTGTGGTAATGTCATGTATGTAATGATAAAGTGGTGAAGCTGTCAAAGTTTGGAGTTTTGAAAAGCTTGTGCCTAACCAGACCTCTGGATTAGGCTTGCAATGATCACCTCTTACTTGCTTATATAAAAAATGACCATGTTGCGCACTGAACTGATCAGACCCGGACTTGTACTGTCTCCTTTTGTCCACCCACGCACGCTTGTTGGAGCGTACTGCGCGGGTGAGGCTTAAACTATCTGAACGTTACTCAGTCCATTTCTGCCACCACTGCTGTCGACAGTGGCGGCGACGTTGTGCTTACGACGCTGGAGATGAAACCTGGGAGCATGATGAGAGGCCATCCGACAGTTGGAATGCAACTTTAACATATCCTGTTTGAGCACACCCTGTATCACTCTGTCCATCTGAGCTTAATCCATATATACATCAGTCATACACACTCTGTTACACTCACAAATACACTCAAAAAAACTCGTTACCATCAAAGTGCAAACAAAAATTAAAAATAATAGGTACTCTTTCTTTGCCTTTAGAAGACAGGAGAAAGAAAGACATTCTTCATATAGTTAAATCTACAATTATAGCAGCCTAAAAGGATAAAATGGAAGCAGAATAAGGTGCTTTAGCTTGTGCCTTCCTGGTGCTGTGAGGGGGAGGGGGGGGGAATAGATGATGCTGTGCATAACACTGATCTCAGGCCAATTCAGCTCGTTCTCAATGTCTCCTTTCACAACTTGATAGAATTAACTAAACTAGTCGTCGATCTGCATTTATGAACATTTTCTAGCTACAGCACATACTGCAGGAAGGCGGTTTGGGGAAGGAGATATGAGGTGCGGGGAGTGGGAGTCCAGGATCGGGAAGTTGGGTGGGTGTTCAGGCAGACAGGTTGTTGGCCAGCTCAATGAGAGCCAGAGCTCCGTGGAGACGCTCTCGCTGCTCCTGGAGGCGGCGCTTGGCAGCTCCTCCCTGGCTGCTCTTCTCCTCCTCTGCCATCTCTTCCTCTTCCCCGTTCTCTTCATCTGACTGGAGGAACTCCATGGGATCCTGCTGCTCCTGGTCCTCTGCTCTTGCCTTGCCCTGTGGCTTCACCTTGGTGGTTGTGGGGGCGCGCTGCTCACGGGTTCGCCAGTATCTGAGAGGACAGAGTTGACTATTAACATACATTGCAAGCAGATGATGTAATTTAAATGCACCATACAAGTCCTAGTATGCTTTATAACACTCCACTGTATTCACTTACTTTGCCAGCCACTCTGCCACAGCCTTGTTATCCACAGACTGAGCCTTCCCCTGACCCTCCTTTGGTTCCTCTCTCTTCAGACGGGAGAAAGGATGCATGGGACAGTGACGGTTGGCATGTGTGAACCGATTGCCACATCCTGCAGAGAGCGACACGTATGAATAAACACAGTGAAACATTAAAGGCCATGTATCTTTGCCAAGATGAGTAATGCATTGACCTTGTGTTTGATGCTCAGCTAGCTTGTTTATTTAAATCAGACAGTTATACTGAAATTTCTGTGTTTGTTAGGTACTTTCCGAATGCTACAAATATAACTCAGCCAGTTAAAGGGTCCAGTCAGTCACAGTGACTGCCTCTGGAAAGTACCTAAAGTATCTAAAAGTGAAAGGCCACACAGCTGACTTTGACTTTCGTTGCTTGGCAAAACAACATCATTTTAGTACACCATTTGGCACCCACCTTTCTCTGAGCAGACAAAGGGTTTTTCCCCAGTGTGCAGCCGCTGGTGCGTCTTCAACTGACCACTCTGGACAAACGCCTTCCCACAGTTTGGGTAGTCACACAGGTAGGGCCTCTCTCCTGCGGGACAATAAGGATGATGATGTCACAGTTAGACACACATACTACATTCAGATGTGAAAACAAAAGTCTGAATATTCACAGTTGATACTTGAAGGTCAACTGTTTCATGCTTTCACACATCAAGCATTGCCGTGCCCGTTCATGTTCCAGCATGTTAATGTTACTGGTTTGACAGGTGTTTACATGACCTTCCCTGCTTCTAACAGTGTGGGAAAGGGCATCATGAAATCCCAGTACTTCCAGCTTTTCTTGAGGCACCTGTCTTTTTGACATTAAGCCAAAACAATATATTTTGTCTTCTATGCACTGCTCCTCTCACCTGTGTGTGTCCTCTTATGAGCCTGAAGAGACTTCTCTCTTGGAAACACCCGGTTGCAGATGTTGCAGCGAATGCGGCTGGATGAAGTCTCCCCCTCGCTTATGAGCTCCCGGACGGTGTCAGCCCGGGGACGCCCTCGGCGGATGCCATCCTGACAGCACAGAATGCACAGAAATGTTAAATTGTGAAAGTAATTTTTCCATATTCAGATGCAGAGTATAATTTGGCAGACTGAGTATGAAATCCTTTTGTTTCTATGATCTGATACATTTACAACATATGAACAAAGGTCAGAGATCATATTTTCATAATACTTTGATTACATATATGCATTTGTATTTGTCATTATAATAAATATGCTAACTATTCAATACACTGTAGAATTCCCAGCGCTTCCTATCTGAGCTCACGTGTTACATAGTTGCACGTTTGTCCATTATAATTCATTCACATCCGGTTACATTTTTGGCGCGCGACTAGACGTCATGTATGAGCAGCTGCTCCAGAACCAGGAAGTAGCTGGGGTTTAAACTGCACCGTGTCACACCCTAATGCGCGGGCGATTTTTTAAATGACTCCAAACCTCGGCCATATTAAAGCTGACTATTAACACTATTTAACAGCTTTTAAGTAGGGATTAAATGTTATTTACATCTTTACCGTATTAATATCTTTATAACGACTCAGTTTGGGATGGTTTGTGTCTTTAAATATGTCAGTATCCTCATGCACGCGCTCTTTTCCTCCCAAAAGCTGCTGTTATGACGTGTAGGCCTGCTTTAACATATTTAAAGTGTTTTAATACGTTATAATAACTGTATTACGGTGTTGTCAACAGCTTTAAACTATATGGGAGCGGTACGTTTTAAGTCTGTGTGATATTATCTGTCATGCTGCACGTCTCTTCCTAACTTTACGGTTACATTAACATGAACATACCCTGATCTGCTCCGGTGAAGTATCCGTGTCTGCCTCCCTGGCCGTCTGGGTCCCGGTGGGAGACGAAGCCCCGCTCACTGAGCCCGGGCTCAGAGTCACATTGTGGGCGTTCTCCCCCCACTTCCACGGGTACACCATGAAGTCGCTGAAACCGGGACTGGTGGGCGTCAGGGCCTCCGCTGCTTTCCTCGGTTTGATCGGCGTGGTCTTGATAACGGACACTAACACTCTCTTGGGCGAGTCGTTGCAGAAAATGACGTGCGGGTGCTTGCTGTCGGCCATCGTGCTGGTGTGGGTGTCAAAACTCCGGCAGAAGCACGCAAAAGTTTTAACTGGAGGTGGTTATTTTGAAAAATGAATGAGTAAAAGTCATAAATAGTACGCCTGTTTTAATCCGGAGTGAATATGTCCTTCATTTCCAAAGAGGAATTAGGCTAATCTCGGATCCGATCTGCGCTACAAAGTATCCGGTAAAGATACAGTTGGATATGAAGCTGATGGGAAGTTTCCTCCTTGTCGCAGCGGGTCGTCTGAACTGACCTGTGTGCGCCCACAGGAGCGTTGTCCCGCGTTGCAAAATCGCGCCCGAGCATGTCACCGACCAATCAGCTGCAGGGATCCGAACCCACGTGCCAGATGCGACCAATGCCAGCAGCCACATAGAGCCATCAGAGCCAATGGGAAGAAGAGAGAGCGTTCTGTGTGCAGTGATTGGTCGAGACATTTTCATCCAATGAGATTTAAACACTTGACGCGCGGTCTTGCACGCTGACCTCAAGATTGGCCAATGAAATTGTGCAGAGCGCGTGTTCGGCCACGGCGCAGCCAATGGGAGTGAAGGGCGGTTAATTTTACATTGCAGGGGAGCAGATGGCTCTTTCCCGCGCTGAGGAGTCTGTTTATGTTATTACATTTTTGGGGCAATTTAAAGGGAAAGGAAACGGTGCCCTAGAGGCGCCAAAGTTACGTAATCATTTTAGGGCGGAAACACTTGAACAAAGGATTTACTGTGCGGGTGAATAAGAAATAGAAAGTAAAGGTTACTTTGAAATATTGTTTGTGATAAATTGGTCTAATTTAGCATCACGCATAACAGTTAATATAGTGTTTTTGCACAATAGGAAAATATTGTCTATCTATGCACATGTGCTGTGCTGAAAATCAAAACATCACGACTTGATGATTTATGATGCCACCAAATGGCACTGTTTGTTCACATATATACTTTTTATTTTTGTTGTCGGTCATCAGTGCTTTCATTCAAACAATATTTCTTTACAGCTATTTTTCCCACATAGCCTACTTATGTACTATATTTTTACCTTTATTCATCCATCCTTGTTGTCCTTGTTCTAGCTGTTTGTCTGTGTCTGTGTACATTCAGAGCAATGCAAAAAACAGAGCCAAATCTTGCCCATATATATAACAAAAAAAAAAAACAAAAAAAACCAAAACTGGAGCAACGTGCAGTCATAATGTCCTATGAGCAATTTCACTCACTGTGGTGCAACAGAAGCCTTTCTGTTTGGCTGTATGTGCCCCTCCCATTGCTGTGAGCTGGTCTGTCTGTGTCCCTCACTCTGACACTGTTACCTTCAAAAGACAATCCAACTATATCCCACTGCACTGTACAATATGTGTCTTTAAACCACTAAAACCTCAGATAATATTCAACCTAACAAGTGAAATCAGAACTACTTTTAAGAGCTTATCTTTTTGAGCCCATACACTAAACTCTTTGTAGTATTTCCTGACGAATTAATGCTGGACACTGATATAAATTTGAATGGAATACCCTAACCCCATTGTATGTCTAAACTGTACGCCTGACATGTGTTTTCTACTCTGACCACTAGATGGGGCTAGGGTCCATTAAGTAAAATATATCCTGACTCATCCTGCTGGAGACAGTGACACAGTTTCTCAGGTTTGAGGTATGTTGGAATAATTTTATTGCTGGAAAACATGTATCTGAGGATAACAATAGGCCTAAATGCACATTTATGAGGTTATTTTATATATAGTTGGATGGTCATTTATCAAATGATGCATGGAGGGAAATATGACTGAAGCAAAATAAATACAGGTTATGAATAATTTTGTAGTGTACATAGATCTGCACAATTTAGTACAAGCTGTACAATATACAAAAGGCATGCAAATATGCGGACTTTAATGGAACATCCTTCAGATTGTGCCAAGCCATGGAAAAGTAAAGACTGCTTAGTAATCATTGCACAAACACAGGTGAGCTCAATATTTAATCAAGCTGTACTTGAAGTTACTCAACAGTCTGTAAGTGTAACATCACTGTTGCGTTTTATTGTGTATTGTTGTTGTTGTCTCTTTTTTTTTTTAAATTGTGTATGTTGTTTGTCTTACTCTTAAGGTGCTATGGACCTCTCCGTGAGATGTGTCTTTAATAAAGTATGAATTGAAAAATTGAATTGTAACTTGTTAGGCCTCATCTCATAGGTACTATACTACAACTATTACAGTTGCTAATAAATATGCAGACAAAAAATATCTATAATAATGTTTATGTAGTAAGGAAATACGAGGGAATTAATAATGTTTGTTTGAAGCTTTTGACAGATAACGTTAAATCTTTGTCTGACCCGAGCATATTAAACTGGTACACCTGAGATTCGGTCAGTTAACGTCAGCTAACGGCTAATTAGCACAACTAGCTAACGAGGACGGAAACAGCTGCGGTCACCTACCGGAATTGTTTGTCAAAGAAAGGACTACCGTAAAAAATATAACTTAACTGAGTTTCTTATTCCAATTTACGAATTGTGTAGCTTTTATATGGGTAACTTATCTAAAACAGGTCTAGAAACAGAAGTAGCTAGCACACAGAGCTGGCTACCAAGCGTTAGCTACTGAGCTATAAAATTGTACCAGTTTAACTAACGTTAACTGTGTGTTAAGACAACTGATAGCCCACTTAGAGTTATCAGCTTTTGTTGTAATACAGAAATAATTAATAATCGTCAAACCAAAACTCTGAGCATCACCACAATGAACCTGAACCTGAGCTAGCCCTTAGATTTAATTACTCACAGCTAACTAATGTTAGCTAAAACCATTCGAATTAAAACTAAGGGACTGTTCATTACTTATGAAGGGTAAGGGGTGGTGCAAAAAGGGGAAGGCATTTCAAATATTTTGTAAGCATTGGGAAGCAATTGAAATTGCTGTTTTTTATATTTATTTTAGTGCGATTTGAAAGAAAACTGGAAGGCATGCTTTCTCTCTCTAAAAAAAAATGCACGATTTATTATTGTCAGAAACTGTTAAAACAGAATTGTTGGATTTTCAAATTTCTGACAGTCCTTGGACACGTCATGTGTGACAAACGCCATCCGTCCATCCATTTTCAACTGCTTATCCAAAGCCGGGTTGCAGGGGCTGCAGGCTGAGCAAAGTATTCCAGATGCCCCTCTCCCCAGCAACACTTTCCAGCTCCTCCTGGGGGATACTGAGGTGTTCCCAGGCCAGATGAGATATATAAACCCTCCAGTGTGTTCTGGGTCTGCCCCGAGGCCTCCTACCAGTTTGATGTGCCTAGAACACCTCTAATTGGGAGGCGCCCAGGAAGCATCTGGCTTTAAGTACCTCAACTGGCCCCTTTCGACGCGAAGGAGCAGCGACTCTACTCCGAGCTCCCTTCAGATGTCCAGCCCTGTCTCTAAGGCTGAGCCCCTTTCGGAGGAAACTCATTTCAGCCGCCTATGTTTGTGACCTCATTCTTTCGGTCATTCCCAGAGCTCATGACCACAGGTGAGGGTCGGGACGTAGCTGGACCAGTAAATTGAAAGCTTTGCCTCCTGGCTCAGCTCCCTCTTCACCACGAAGGTCCGACATAGCGCCTGCATCACTGCAGACGCTGCGCCAAACCACTGATCCATCTCATGCTCCATTCTACCCTCACTCATGAACAAGACCCCCAGATACTTGAACTCCTTCGCTTGGGTGCATTTCGTGTCAGGCGGCAGGCAGAGGCAGGGACCTGGGCGTGTTGACCCCTGGTGTCGCAGACTCACTCTGGGGATGGGATGACAAAAGCTGCTGTCAGGAAAAAAAAACATAACCAAATTTGAGCTTGAAATAGTGACATTTTTTTAAATAACTTTATTTTATGTCTAATTTAAAATTTGGCCAGAAGTAAATTTGCACAAAATATCTGACCATGAACAAGAGTGAAAAACCTATGCTCTTCTCTGTTTCAAGATTTCATCCTCAACTTTTCACTTTTAACTTTCAAACATCTAAGAGTATGTTTTAAAAATCTAATAACAAATTTATGATGGACGGAGAGTCTTGCATTTTGTCACTCAGTGAGGGTCAGGGAAAAATATTCGTAGTTTTGGAGAGAGGTCAAAATAAAAAATAAAAAAAAGTCACTCCCCACCCACCTCCATCCTCTGGTAAGTAAAGAACAGTCACTAATGTTAGCTGGCAGAAGTATTCTCATGTTTTATGATCATGGTATTTTTAATAGTTAGTGTTCTTTGTTAATTAGACAGTTACAGAGTTGTTAGAGTTGTTTATACAGGAAATAACAACAACAAACCTCAGTTCAAGCTCATGTAGCCTTTTCTCAAAACTTGCTTGAGTTATTAATTTAACTGTAACTTCAAAATGGAACTGTTCATCTTTATCATTGAATGTTATGTATTTATTTGTCCATGTATAAACACCTTTCCCCTTTGACTTCAGTCCCTGTGCCAATTCGAGCACCAGGACCTGACTAAGCAGAGAATAATCCACCCACACTGGCAGAGGACTTGAGCCAAGTCTGTGCAATGGATGAATATTGATTAGTGAACAGCCTATTGATGAGCACAGGGGCGTGGCGTCGCTCGCCTCCACACGTGCAAACATTTAAAAGTGTCCACAAACCGCTGTGGGCATTTGTTGGATGTTAGCGGAGGCAGCAAAGTACCGTCCGCAGCTCTGTTCTGTTGCAGCCGGGCACGAAAACGGTCGTTGCATGAGCTTTTTGTTTGCTATTTGCAAAGTATGCGTTCACCTTGAGGAGGAAAACAGCTTTTGAATTCTGCTTTGTCTCGTCACACACAGGCTAAAATGCTACCGGACGCCTACGGGTGCGTTGTGGCGAACAGGTTCGGGGATCTACTGGATGACGATGCTGACCCGTTTGACTTACTCAGCAAAGTGGAACTGGAGAAGGAGAAAAAGAAAAAGAAGGATGACGAGAAGAAAGGCAAGCAGAAGAAACCTGGTCAGAAGGAATCCCAGAAGGACAGACGCGTCCCCATTGCGTCGGGTAGTCAAGACCCGGCTCCAGGTCAGCTCACCGCCTGGCTGCGTTATTGTTACACACCCCAAATCCAAACGATTCTGGTAGCAGCTGGTATTTCTAGATTGGGTGGCACAGCCAAGAGTGGCCAGTTTGCTCAGGCGCTGTCAGCTGCTGATGGTGCAAAGTCAGCGAGACTGCTGAGCACATGTTCATGCTGTCAGGATTTCCACCCCTTATCTGAAGCCAAATAACATTGTCCTAATTCTAAAGCACATTCAAAACTCCATTTAAATGCAAATTTTATGTCTGACAAAAGTTTTAAGTACAGTTAATCCTTTTTATTGAAACACAAATTTTCACTGGACTTTTTTTTTTTTTTTTTTACTCTTTTTGCATGCTTTGATATTATCAGATACATTCTTTCCTTTTTGTAAGATGGAGCTTTTGGATATTGTGAACAATAGATTGGATTGGAAAATGTTTTTATAATCTTGATTAAGAGCTAAATGATGACAGGAAGGTTCAAACCAACACTATGTGATACTATAGACTAATATGTGGGCTGTATAGATTTTAGCATGATTTGCTTGACCAAACATTTAATAATTTAAGTTTTTCATTTGCAAACAAAGAAGAAAAACAAGGAAAACACAACTGAATATCTCACTAACATTACCTTATTTTCTGCCCTTAGTCCAGAAGCCGAAGCAGAAGCAGCAGCAGCAGCAGGCGCGTCCTGGGCCACTCACTGAGAGTGGAGATGGCAGAGAGGAGGCCCAGAGGAGCACAAAGAGGCCTGCCTTTGGGGAGCGCAGGGCCAACCGAGAAGAGTACCCTCAAGAGTTTTCCATCCCTAAGTATGTGTTTTCATACAAGATAAAGCTAAAACTTGACTTGGGGGGTTCACATCTGGATGGGAGTAAAATTGGTTGCATCACGTGTGTATTTACGTTTCCATAGCCACACCTTAGTTTGGAAAAAACAAACAAAAAAAAACATTATTACAATTGTCCAGTTTTACAATAGTATTGGTTCTCCCATGAAAAAACTGACCCCAAGTGCTCTAAGAGGACTGTTTTTCAGTGTGAAGTTTGCACAACTACATGCTAACTACTGCCACCTCAGAAGATTACTGGTACCCGTGAACATGGATTGTGATAGGGAGTCATCACATGTCTACACTTGGATATAGTTTGTCAGTATTGAACGTTGCTACAATCTGCTAGATTTGAGGATTTATGGCATGATTTATTCTTATTATTCTGGCCAGCTGTCCTGTCTCACAGTCTAAAAAAAATGCGCAAAATAATCTGGGTATCCGACCTGTGATTCGGACCTGCTCCAAAATTGAATTGCTTCTTCCTTGGCTTATGCAAGTTTCATTAATATGGAACCAGTAGTTTTCCTGTAATCCAGCTAACGAACTGAATGTAAAACCTCCTTGTAGTTAACAAGACAACATTTTTTTTAAAGAAGTGACACTTAATTACTTAAATAAATCGAGAAGGTCATGAGCGTAACAGACCCTTGCTTTAGTCAATACATTAATACAAGGTTTTGCTGCCGCTGTCTCCCTTGGTCTGGTATGACCAGTAATGTTTGAATGCTAATGTTAGCCGACATTTTAGAAGTCACAATTCTCCCATAATTGTCACTAATGAAGTATTGTCACCTTCTTTTGGTCTCACTGTTTTTCTCAAAGTAAGAGACGCAACTGTCCAAGTCTTGAGTAATACTTTGAAATGTCGGAGCTGTCACAGGACCACATAACAAGTGTTAATGTGATTGGTCCCCAGGCCTTCCTATAATACAGACTCTGACCAATGGGGCAGAGGGGGGACCAGAGGTAGGAGAGGAGTAAGAGGTGGTGGATACCCAAGGAACTCCGACAACTTCAACCCCAGGGGCAAGAGAGAGTATGATCGACACAATGGAACGTAAGCCTTTTTGTTCATGTAGCAGTCCAGTTTAGAAAGTCTTGTTTTTTCTCTCATAATGGTGTATTTACAACTTTTCTAATATTCATTGCAGAGGAATCTCTCCTGAGGAAAAGAGAGGAGGCAGAGGACCCTGGAACTGGGGCAGTGTTGAAGACGGTGCAAGGTAAGTGGAATTTCATTAACATGTTAAAGGGAAATTTCAGTTTATTTCAACCCGTCTCCTATCGTCCTAAATTTGTTTCAAGTGACTAGTGACATAGAAATAATAGTTAGCATGTTAGCCATTAGCCTAGATACAGCCGGGGCGCATAGTAGTGTCAGACCTGTTAAAACGTAAGTGAACGGGCATACTTCAAGTGCAAAGTTAGTCCACTAAACAAGCTTTTTTTCCACAAAGACCGCCTCATATCGTTAGGATAAATGTCAGAGAACATATAGAAAACGACATGTAAACGTGTTGTCTTACCTTACCGGTGTGGTGCCATGTTTGTTTACTATTTGCTACTGCTTTCCAAAGCGCGGCCGAAATATATCTCGCGAGCTCTAGTTAAAGCCCAGCTGGATACTAACGTTACTCCAGGTGGAGGTGTCTCATCCTCGGTCACATCCAGACCTTGAAAATAAGGCTGCAATCGCTCCCATTCCTTGCAACAGAGGCATTCCTCTTCTGTGGGCACTGGGGCACAGCATTCACAGGTACACCACCAGTCTCCAGAGCTACGCAGCCTTGCAGCAGCCATTCCTCCTCTCTCGTCCTCTACCTGTTGGTCCTCTCTCTCTCTCCTCCTCCACCTCCTTTCTTCAATTTCATGAAGCTCTTCGTCAGTGTATTCTGGCTCAAATAAATAAGGGCGGCCATCAAACTCTGCAAAATCAAATTCCTCCTCCATAAAGTCAAAGTCTGGCAAAAAAGTCAGCCATTATTCTATAAATCTTTCATAAAATAAATGAATTAACTTTTCAGGCTACTGTCCGGTTCTGCCTTTCAGCTGTTGCTGCTTGTTCTCGCGATATTTCGGCCGCGCTTTGGAAAGCAGAGCTAAATGGTAAACAAACATGGCACCACACCGGTAAGGTAAGACAACACGTTTACATGTCGTTTTCTATATGTTCTGACATTTATCCTAATGATATGAGGCGGTCTTTGTAGAAAAAAAAGCTTGTTTAGTGGACTAACTTTGCACTTGAAGGTTGCCCGTTCAATTATGTTTTAACAGGTCTGACGCTACTATGTGCCCCGGCTGTATCTAGGCTAACGGCTAACATGCTAACTATTATTTCTATGTCACTAGTCACTTGAAACAAATTTAGGATGATAGGAGACAGGTTGAAATAAACCGAAATTTCCCTTAAGTAACAACTTTAAATCTTGAGCACAGTAGAGACGTGTTTCTGCCCATGTCTCTTTTGTAAAGTGAATTAATGGAGGTGACCTCTGATGCTGCAGTCAAATCTGAGGAGCACCAAATACCTGTGGAGGATGAGAATCTGAATCGGTGAGTGACGCACATAACCACCTTTCTTAAAAATAACATCAGAGTCATCACATCCTTCAGTGGCAGAATCATCAGACAAGAGTGACAGTTAACTAGTCTAAACTTGTGCAACAATTAAATCAACCGAAAAGTGAGCTTTCACAAATTATGCTTGTGTTTTTGCATTCATAAATAGATTAATGGAGAAAAAAAATCTAGCCTCTCTACTTTAAAGACTCAAGTAATAATTGGCAATTTGGTAATTTTTGAGTCATGAGAAACAACTTAAGAATGTTTTTTTTAATTTGACAGTGTCACACTAGATTCACATTTTCATTTTACGATGTAGAAATGAAGTGGACTGACAGATGTAGTTTGTCCCCAATCATGGCAGCGCAATGGAAGAAGAGGAAGGAGAGATGGTGGTCCACGTTGCCATGGAGATGTCCCTGGATGAATGGAAGGCCCTGCAGGAGACAAGTCGCCCCAAGGCAGAGTTTAATATCCGCAAAGCCGAGGACAAGATTCCCTCCAAAGCCAAGGTCATCCACCAGTCAAAGTACACGGAGGTGAGAATTAAAAGCACCTTATGGAATCTGTTCAGGAGAAGACAACAAAGCCCTGATCAAAGTGGAGCTTTGATGAGACCTTATGTGGACTGCTTAAGAAATAAGTAGACCTAGTAGTAAGCCACATCCTGCAGTGATGCTCCACCGTAACATACAGACCCTCAGAAAAGTGTAAACTAGGTAAAGGCTGCTGAGGTTTATCTAAAAATCTAAAGACGAGACAACTACACCATTTAGATGACTTGATTAAGCATTTGCCTCCAATCTTCAGAATGTGAAGGAGGGGACCCTGGAGGACGTGGAGGATGAAGGAAACTTCCTTCGTAGGTCCGTGAATGACATCACCTCCCTTCTGGACATCAATTTCGGGAGTCTTGGACGCCCCAGTCGCGGGGGTCGGGGAAGGGGAGCACGAGGTGGCCTGGCTAGTTGCCCAGAGAGAGCCAAACCCATACTGGAGAGGGTATGTTCTCAACTCTTGCTCACTGAGATCAATCTTAGAGCACAAAATGTAGGCTACCCCAGTGGAAGCACATGGGAACATATGTTAAACTGTATGCTGTAAATCAGTGGTTATCAACCTTTTTTATGTCAAGGACCCTCAAATTGATGCACATTAGATCACTGATTTATGTGTTCTTCCAGCAGGAGGACGATCTGGCTCCGAACCCGGATGACCCAGAGGACTTTCCAGCACTATCAGCAGGAAGATAACTGAATTCACTTCTCGTTTACCTCCTGTGGGGAATATTGGTTGCACTTGCTAAAAAAAAAAAAACACATTTCATGTTTCTGCTGTTCTTAAGGTTTGGGGTTTTATTGTACTTGATTTATTTTGTTCTATTGCACAGACGGCACTGTTCGGCATTTGAATCCTAAAGAATAAATGCTTTTGCAAATTGATCTTGGAGCTGTATTTTCTTTTTTTAGAATGCAACACTGGGACTACTTTGAACGAGTATGAAATGTGAGAGGTTTGGGTTTATGGATCTGTGTTGCCTTTTGCATTTGTAGGCAATTATGCAACTGTACTCAGCTGGTAAAAACAGGATAGTGGATGTGTTGCAAATCCCATACTTCTTCTTTTTGCTATAAGTGGGTACTGCAGCTTCCCTTAAAAAAAGTACGTACTGTTGCATGCAGTATGCTAACAATCCGGACATACTACTTTTCTCACACAATGCACTCAACTTTGGCCCTCTTGCTTTTATATCAGTTACCTTGGAGATAACACAAAGGCCACTCACTGAACTCTGCAGAGTGGAGTTCAACCCAGAGAGATCTGTTACTTTGCAATGTGCAAAATAAACTGCACAGACGGCCAATTCTAATATATAGGCTATTTGCAACAGTGAAATTACATTTTCAGTTCTGTCAGTTGTTTTTAGTTATGTCCAATGGTAATATCTATGATTCCTTAACTGAAACAGTCAATATTCCTATTACTAGTATTCGACTGGTTGTCGGTGACGTGAATGCGCTATCATCCGACAATCACTTGTCACTGTCATCGGTTTGCAGCTCAGTGGATGTGACATACCGCAAGGCTATTCAAGCGAAGGCTGAGACACGGGGTCAAACATGGGGGGATTGCATATGCGCAGTGTAACTTGAGCTGCGATGCTGGAGGGTGATAGCAGGGGCGCTAGATAAAAAGCGCAGGATCCGCTCAGGCGATCAAGGAGTGTGCTTGGTGCGGTCTGCTTGGACTTTTGGATGGCGGCTGCCTTTAGTTGTCCGAATTGCATCTCTGTCATTCTCACCCACAACGCAGGCCACCAGTGACAGTCCAGTAATAAGCTGTGAAAATAACATGAATGCACATCCCTCTTATTCCGCGGTCTCACGCCATCTACTGAGCCTTTGAGGAAGTGCAGACCAGATTTTACTGCGCATGTGCAATCCCCCATGTTTGACCCCGTGTCTCAGTCTTCTCTTGAATAGCCTTGACATACCGTCCACTACGCAGACGATTGTGGGTCAGAATAGTTAGTAAAGCATGCTGGCTTGCACACTGCAAAATCAGACTGGATGTAGTAGAACATCTTGGTATTTTTGGCATACTGCATTTCACATTATGTATTGAGACATACAAGTCTTTTTCTGGCATACTATATAGTATGGTAATATGGATACTGGAACATACAAGAGTGTTACTGTGACTTGGCATGAAAACTACAAGCTTCCTTTATCAAAAAACTTGAATGTGATATCACAGTGAGAAGACATTTGTGATCTTGTAGCTGTGTCAATGCATCTTGGCATATCAAGCATATGGTACAAGGACTTACAACCAGAGATGACATAAATTGGAGTAAATTTTTATTTAAAAAGTCTGATTCTATGTGCGTCGAGCAAACGTCTTCAGTGGATTATGAACATGAGTTAGACAGGGGCCCCATTAGGACCATTGACATTTCATAGCATGATTCAAACATAGTACAAAATATTTAAAAAATACAAACCGAGTATATCAAATGTCGACATATTTACAGTCTTGAAATACAGTAGCTGAAAAGCTTCACAAGTAGATGGCAAGCCAGATATTGAGAATGGAGGTACAAATGAGCACAGTGCTGTATCTTGTTGATGGACGCTGTTTCAACTACATCAAGGCAAACAGCCTCGTGCCACAGAGGGCCAGGAGCGAGTTTATATGACAAACTCCCAGTCAAATCCATCTACACATCTAACTGAATGTGATTCTCCCATCTTATAAACCAGAATATCTGTTGCACAGTGCTCATTATGGAGGGTATCTCTAGGATTCACATGCCAGTCTGATGTTTGCTACTGCATGCTTCAATGAGTAAGAACAACCAGGCAATGATTAAAACTATCAGTATGTTTCATGATGCTTTGTTAAAAATATAAAAACCAAAAGTGCCTTACAGGTAAAAGAACTTGTAATCAAACAATCTATAAATGATTTACATGTCACATCAAGTTGGTTAAAGTTTGTTCCAACCTTTTTTCCCCAAAACTTAAAAATCTATTGAAAGAGAAGAACAGCTGTATAGAAGCTGGATTTCGTGTAAAGTTTCTCAGGACTTCCAGATCTGCTGGCTCACCGAAGTAGAGGAGCTCTAGCTTTGGGTATGGAGTGACTATGAAGAAAAACACAAAGTCAATGTTAATAGAGGGACAAATTTCATTGATTTACATTGTACTATTCATTATTTAATCATTCAATCAATGTTTCTGCACATGAATCAGACATATTTCACAGGAAATGTAAGAGAAAGTGAAGAGGATAGATACCATAGCCTGGAAAACCGAATTGATTGCAAAGAGCTGCAAGCTTTACGTCCTCTGGAGACAGTACGTCTGTTGCGTGTAAGAAATATAAAAGACAAGGAAAGAGAAAGGAGATATAAACATTACAGATCAGCACTGGTAAAGAATGCAGACCTGATCACAGAGGCAGAAGACACAGTGAGCAGCAGAGTCCAGAGAAGCTATAGCCAGTCTTAGTAGGAAACCCGCTGTTCTTGGAGAACATGCAAGGAAAGCTTTTGAAAGAAGCAGCAGGGAGACAGGTGGAGTTTCATTTGGGAACCTGACAGAGGTAGATAAGCAGGGTCAGATTTATTAAATGTTAGTCCTGCACAGTGTCAGGCTAAATTTAATGTTAGTACAACAGCTGAGTAAGAAAGAACCGTGGCTGGGTTGCACCATCATGGATTAATGTTCGAGTACAGACAGCCATTTAAGTTAAACACAGCTGAGACTAACTGTTTTGGACTAATAAAGCTTAAACTAACAGTACTAAATAAATAAATTAATAAATAAATTAAAAAAGAAATGAAAACCTTTGAATCTGAATCAAACATCTGTCTTCATTTGATTACATTTCATGTCTTTGACAAGCACTTAAACATTGGCTTACTCCACCCTTATCTTCAGATTTATGCTGGCAAACTAACTGAGACTTATGTCAAAAGTTGCCCCAATTTAGCAGGAAAAATCCTAAATCAAAAGGGGCCAAGCATTTAACTTAATGAGGCCACTCCTGTCTGATTATTATCTCTCTTCAAGGACCTGTCATTTTTCTCCCAGCTAGCAGACATGAGTCCAGACAACTGTCATATCAAAATGGTTAAAAGTGAAATCTAAATTGAATCTTGCTCATTTCTAACTGCGTAAAAACATCTGATTAAAGAGAATTTGTGGATAAACCACAATTTGATTTTGTTTAAAACTTCTAATTTGTGCTGATGCGCCCCAGCCTAAGTACATTAAGTGATTATGAGCATTAAGAGGAGAAAGAGGGAGAGAGTTGAGATTCTGGATTTTGGCTGAATGTACACAGGCACCCATGATATCATCTTCAACAGAGATCTGATTATCCTGTGGCTGCCAAAACTACAGAGAAGTCATTTAAATATGATTTTTTCCCCCCTTGTTTGGACAGCATAGAGAACACATCCTCATTGAAAAATCTGTGAAAAAAGATTTGTTTGTGGCTCAGAGTAGGTTGCAGGGAGCTTGCCTGAATGTGGGCCTGTGCCATGTTTAAGTTGATGAGAGTGCCTGTGTTGGCTGTGGCACTGGCCGTGTCTCTATGGCTGCCACATGGCTCCCAACACATTGGGTCCCTGTCGCCAGCCACTACATGCAAGTTGCCTAGGGACCTGACCAGTCTGGTGTGGCACAGGGAGCTGGCAGAGAGAAGGGGAAGCTGTTAATTTACTCAACAAGGATCCACGAGTGGCTATAGCCTCTTGGTTGCTTTTCAACTGTGTGTCAACTTCACAAAAATCACATCAAAGTAGAATTAAATGTTTGATATTATCAACACAGCACAGTCCTGGATGATGAAATACATGGAAAATATGCAGTATTTAAAGAGGGGGAAATACATGTCCACAATGAGGGCTTTATAGCTAGTATACAATTATGTTAATCTGACAGAATAATCTTTAATTTTTCTAGGGTTTTTAGCTTCATCAGTCAGTCTTCATCAGTCACATGGTGACATCTCATCTATGGCAATTGAACAAACTCCTTTTACTGATGAAGACTAAGATACAGCTAAATATTCCAGGATTAATCTAATTATCTAACATTCACAACACTGCTCTCACCCATTGGAGAACTAGGTAGTAGTGAGCTCGAGGACTGTCTTTATCATGAGACTCAATAAAAAAACCCACAGGTGCTCTTAAAGAGAAAGGTCAGCATATGGGAAGACAAAATGAACTTCAGGCACTCGTGTTGAACAGAAACAAATGCACTTGAAGTCAAAAAGCCTTTATCCAAAATACATGGCTGCTTACATTAAAACACCAACTGATTTTGACCCTAAGGTCTTCATCAGGGTGCAAGAAGGTGGACAGGAGTCAAGCAAACATCTTATAAACTTGGTAGAGGGTGTCACCCAGTCTTGATTGATAAGTGCAGGTGGGTGACAGCAATGGATCACAATGAGAGGCCATTTTCAAAGTGACACGCACTAACATCCAAATTACATCCATCACATAAAAAAAGAAAGAAAAAAAAATCACAATCTATTACTTAAATCATGAAGTTGTATCTGTACAGAAATACATAATACGAAGAGAAAATAAGGTCTTTGTGTTTGATGGACAGAAATAACTTAACAATTTAAGTAATGGATTGTATTTTCTTCTTTTCTTGGCGTGTCACCTTCAAAATAGCCTCTGGTGGTGATCCACTGCTGTCACCCACCTGCACTTATCAATCAGGATTGGTTGACACCCCCCTACCAAGTTCCTGTTCCTGTCCACCCTCTTGCACCCTGATGAAGACCTTAGGGTCGAAACAAGTCAGTGTTTTAATGTAAGCAGCCATGTTTTTTGAATAAAGGCTTTTTAACTTAATTCAAGTGCATTTGTTCCTGCTCCTCTCATGAGTGTCAGAAGTTCATTTTTTCTTCCCAC